GCAGGCTGGTCCCAGCTGGAGGACGACGTCTCGGGAGGCAGGCCCCTCTCCGGCATCGCCTGGCCCAGCCAGGGGTCCTCGGCTGTTCTCAGAGCCTGATCCATTTATCCCACCAGTGGCCAGTGCCAGGGACGGTCATCTCCATGGAGCTGGGTACCCAGGCTACGCCTGCTTTTCTTGTTTTAGAAGATGTTTTTGTTTGTGGTGGGTGAGTGTTTGGCAGCACGAGCATGCCTGGCGCCATGCAGGTTAGAGAAAGGTGTCAGGTGCCCTGAGCTGAACCACAGAGAGCTGCCAGCTGCCGTGCGGGCGTTGGAAACCAGCCCTGGGCCTCTGTAGCAGCAGGCAGTGCTGAGAGCCGGTGAGCCATAGCCCCAGCTCCACTGTTTTCCTTTCATTTTCTTCCCTCCTTCCTTCCCTCCCTCTCTCCCGCCCTCCCTCCTTCCGTCCTTCTCTCCCTGCCTCCCTCCTTTCCTCCCTGACTTCCTCTCTCCCTGCCTCCCTCCCTCCCTTCCTTCCACAAGACCTCATGTATCCCAGGGTGGCCTGGAACTCATCTAGCTTTTCCCTGGGAAATCAGGGCCTCATGCCGAATGGCGTCCTCGGTTCCAGCCTCGCCCTCTTGCTAGCCTCCTCACCACTGCCTCGGTGCACAGGCCTGCACAGTTTGTTCTGACCTTTCGCTGTCTGCTTCCGCCAAAGCCACAGGGCTTCGAGAGAAAGCTTTCCTGCCCCTAAAGACCAGATGTCTCAGCCGGCCTCAGGAAGTGGAGGTTTGGATTGAGGAGGCGAGGAGTTAAGCTCTTACACAGCCGTGCCTGCTGCTCCAGCCATTCCTGGAGTGGATGAGGACATCCTTCCGAGGCCTGTCTCGAGGCCTTTGTGCTCCTGATGAATATGTCTTGTGTTGTAAGCTGCCCTCAGGGACTGTCAGGACCTTGGCCAGCAGAATGTCTTCCGTTGGCATTGCTGTGAGCTTCCAGCACCCAGGGCAGCCTGGGCAGCCAGGGCCCTGATCCGCAATAGAAATCTGAGGTCTGCGGTGGTGGCTAGCAGCTAGCCAGTGAGCTCCAGGCTCTCGGGGAGGGGATCTGGACAGCCACCACATTACTCTGAGCCTCAGTTTCCCTGTTGGAAATAGTACAGTATTTTTTCTTTTGCACAGCCTTGAGCATTGGTGAGGCCATCGCACAGAGATGCTCACTGCTGGCCTCGACGGGCATTGCCCGGGGGCCAGATGACCCTGGCTTTGAACTGGACTTGCTCCTTACAGGTTGTGTGACCTGCAGAGGGCAGCTGCCTCCTGAGTCTCGGTGCACCCCTAACCTGGAGGGCCGTCCCTGGGGGACCGGTGGGGTCGGCACACATGGGGCAGGAACCCCGGGGCTGGGGAGGCCCCTGTAAGTGACGCGGAGCAAGCCAGCAGTTGGCTCTAGCCAGGGCTCTGGAGAGCTGCCGCCATCCCCGCACGCGCAGGCTCAGCCTCTCCAGCCAAGCACACTGTAGTTGGTTCCAGCTTGTTTGCAGTCT